CTACTATGTTTAACACAATTTAACGTGGTTTTAACTACTCTTCAGTTTATTATGTCAATTTTACTTCGTTTTTTTTGTATTTAATTTTTGCGTTGCTTATTTATTGAATTTTGTAATAACATTGATAAAGGCCTGATGACAGGCTGAAACGTTTGTTCTTTAATGTATAGTTCAATGGTTATAAATTAATACACGATAACCTTCGCACGAATATCTGGCTGTTGGCTCTTTACGCTCCTATCAAATTCATATATTTCTTTATATTTATCGTAAATAAAAACATTAGATTTGTAAATTATAATTATACAGTTTGCAATTTTACTCTTATTTAAAATAAAATTTTAATATAGGGATAATATAATTTATATAACAATTTTTCAGATTATGCGGAATTTATTAGGCACGCATATGGGTCATTGTGCTTTATATACAATGTGTCGGCTGCTACAAGATGTAAATTTTCAACGTGATGTTCGTCTACTCCGAGGAGCAGTATTTTATATAAATATGGGTTTATGGGGTACACACAGAATACCAAAATTAGAATGTACACAAGCATCTGTTTTGCCTTCTTTTTATCAGGTGTATATAAAAAATAAAAATTATAAATGCAGTGATATTTAACAGAGATAAATGACTGATATACATTGACAGGCTCTACAATGTAATCATCCAATTGTTATGTATGAAGTTACTTTATCGATACAAAGATTGGTTAACAAGTATGGTAATGAATTGTGGGATCCTACTTGGAGTGTTATTTTAGATATCATAGAACAAGTTATCACTCACATTGGTAAAATTTTCAAGATATTCTCTTTATTCTATATGCGTGTGATTGTAGAAAGAGTTAATGGATGCCATAATATAATTTTTACACATTGTTTCAGAAAGTAATAATCAGCCTGCAACCAAACAAGTTTCTACAAGTTTACATGAAACAATTACTAATATTGAACATTTACTCGATACAAACAATTATAATGGTTGTATTCAACGCTTTTATAATCTTGTTGAACGTTGCAGTAAATCTCGACCTGTAAGTAGATGTTTTAAATAATGCTTTTAGGTCATTTAAAATGGGATATGTTGCATATTTTTACGTATATATGTGATATTTCTTTCCAAAGAAATCTGGTTCGTAATAAAAATCAATTTTTTATAAAAGTGAAACGCGTTAAAATTTGACGTCTTTCAAGTAAGACTAATTTAAGAGAATAACTATAATACTTTACGTAACAGTTTTTACATTCAATTTAATTTTGTTTTTGTATTTTTATTTTTTATTCTTTCAAAAATATATATATGACAAAAATAACATAAATAAAGTTTTTTTTCTTAAAACTCAATCTTAAAAATCTTGTAATAAACCACGTTTCTTCAGAGAGAAAATCACATATCTTTTATTTAAAATATTTTTATTTTTAGGAAGGATCTGTGTTAAAATTAATTGAATACAGAGCTTCTACAATAGGCCCTACATATTATCAATGGCAATTGAAATTAGTGTCTTTAATGGAACATTACTATAAAAATGATGCACGTACAACCATTAGAATGAAGGTTCTCGATGTTCTAACCAATGTTATTCATATTAATAGGTATTATAATCATTTTTAATATATGTTGCATCATTTTTTTTTTAAATGAATATAGTAAGATATGGTTTAACAGAATTACTTTGCCAATTTTATATATTTTATTTTATAATCAAAACACAATAAATAAGAAGCAGTCATATCACAGGATTAAAAATGTATTTGTAAACTAATTCGTATTTTGTTGTATAATAATGCTATAACTTTTATTATAACAAAATCTATTACAGTAAAAGCTTATACTTTGGTGTCCAAAACAAACAGCTTATGCAAGTGATCACTATGTTATCACGACAAAATTCAATTTGAGCTGTTACATTTTAATGGAAATTGATGTTGAGTTGTTAAATTTAAACTCTTAATTTGAAATTTAATGATATTTATTATTGTATATTTCTTTTAGTTTAGATAATAAAATTATACATTTACTTATAACAGATCTAGGTACGAGGATGAACTTATTGAACGAATAGTTGTACCGCATATGCAACATATAGAGATAGATCCGGATATTACAATACGTACTGTCACAGCAAATTTACTAATAGACCTTTGCTTGGAGTGCGATACTAAACGATGTATAGAACTTTTGGACATACTAGAAAAGGTATGAAAATTGTTTACATTACAAAGAATATTTAGTGACAGTTTGTTTATTTTAGATGATTATTGTTTATTTTAGATGATCAACAAGCCTTTTACATCAGACACTCCAATCTCTATTGATGCCGATATCAAAGATGTGAAAACTGCTGTTGTTGGAGTTATAAAGATATTCACTTCTAAGATTTATCGTTTACCATCAAGTCATGCAATATGCGCTTATAAAATTTTAGTGAATCATCTTGAACAACACTATAAAGACCCCTCTATCTTCCATGATGTATCAACGCCACGTAATTTGGTAATTATTCTGTTTTACAGAATAAAGTGTAAAGTACGGCAAAAATTGTGATACAAACAGCTTTATTCAAGCAAAAATGTAGAACAACATTTTTTTTCACGAAGCTTTATTTTTTGCAACGAATCTATTTACAAAGTTGAAAAATTAGTAACATATTTGTACTTTTCTAAGCTTGAATAATCTTCAAAATCAATTATCTTGATAAAATCTTGCATGAAAAACTTTTATTCTACATTTTGACTTGTCTTTGTATAGGAAATCACTCTATTCTCAATTGTGTATTATGATTTTTGCTGTACCTTACATATTTTAAATATATCTGTTTATTCAATCTCTTACAGGATAATATATTTATAATATCACAATGTACTTTTATTATTATATAGATAGATTCAATAATATATATTTTTACAGATTTTTGAATGCTTTTTAAAAATTAGAGCAAACTCTCTATATCATCTTGGTATATTAGATTCGTCTAATGCTATTCGATTTAGTCCATACCTTGTTTTGGAACATGGCGCAACTGAACGTATGAACAGTGCAAGTGGAGGCAATAGTCCTCCACCAGCTAGTCCTGTGCCGTTGCAACACTTATCTTGTCATATTACTATGATGTCTTTAACTCATGGATGTAAAACTATTATTTCCTGCATTAAACAAGAAAAAGGTAATGCTTTAAGAAGAAAGCTTTATTATTTTACGCAACTTTAGGAAAGAATGTATATATATATCAGAATATTAAAATTACTAGCTTTTCTAATATTTAGTAAATCTCTTTCAGTGTTTTCTTTTGATTTTGGACTTATAACTTAAAATATTTAAAGAGTAAAAAGATCTTGTCTGATGATTTTATGAAAATTGAATTGAATTGCTTCTCAATTTCCTAATTGTTATGACAAAAATTTATGTAGAATAAGCTTTAACACTAAATTACCAGGTCAGAATTCTTTCAAAGGTGTTTGAATTTACGTGTGTTGTTGATGAATTGCTGATGATTACTTTAAATCACTAAAAAGCTTGATTTCAAAAAATTTTGACAAGGAGATAATATTGATATAAACTTTTCAATTCTTATATCATAATTGTTATACTTTGCAGATTGGAAAGTTTTACATCTTATATTAAAGGAATTACCTCAAGTGATGCAGAATAGAGCTCTAGTATTATCTCGTCATAGTAATGACATTGATTTTTTTGCAGCAGCTTTGTGTTCAATGGTTGGTTAACTCATTTTTTATTTCTTTTTTCTAAATATTGTATTACTTTTTATTAATATTCCTAAATTCAATTTTTAGGTAAGCGACAAAAGTTTGCGCCTCCCCGACTCACTTTACAATGTTCCGCTTAAATTTACTCTTTCCGAATTTCGAGTATATGTTTTCCCGGTACTAGCATCTTTGGCATCATATCATGCTCATTTGGAACCTAATTTGCAACAACGTTTAATAAAATGCTTAGAGGTAAGACATGTGTAAAGCACAGAACATAATAATTTTATAAATGTCAATAACTAAGAACTTTTTTTTTATGTCTTTTAATGTAAATACGTTTGGACTAAAAAGAAATTTATCCTTAGGTTGGTCTTACAGCAAAATGTGCAAATCAATGTGTGACCAGTCTTACAATCTGCACATTAGAAATGCGTGATACAATGAATAAACTTTTACCTGAAGTATTATTGAATTTATCAAAAATTTCTGCAACAGTTTACATTGCTATACCTATTTTAGAATTTTTATCAAGTAAGTTCTGTATTATATCATAATACGTAATCCACTCTTTATATTTATGAACTCCTCAAATTTTAATGAATGACGTATATGTGCAAGATAGCTTCAGAATCTTGGGGTCGTTAAATTCAATTCTCTAGTCAAAATTTTTAAATTTCATATGACAGATCTAGTGACACAGGTCTAATTTGAAAAATTATTCTATTTTTGTTCAATTTGATCTACGAGTTTTTATAGTCTGGATTCGAATTTCTAATCAAAGTTTTTTTTAATTTAGAAAAATATTTTTACAAAACAAAAAATTTCTTGTTCAAATTTCTAATTTCATAATAGATTCACGATTCGAATTTCGACTGCAGAATGAAAATCAACGTTCCAATATATTGCAAATATATGCAATTTTTGGATATAATTTAACTTTTTTTTTATAGAAATTATTTTTGGTAAGAGTTTTTATTTGCTCTCAATTAAGAGATTAAGGAGTGTTATATTAATAAAAAATTATATATATATATTTCTATTCTAGCTCTAACTAGACTTCCAAAAGTTTTTGCCAGCTTCATCGGAGACCAGTATATGTCCGTATTTGCAATATTATTGCCATACACTAATCCTTTCAAATATAACCATTATACAGTATCTTTGGCTCATCACGTAATTGCAGTATGGTTTTTGAAGTGCAGACTACCTTTTCGAAGAGATTTTGTTAAATTCATTACTACAGTAGGTATATTTTTTAATGTTAATCAATCTTTGAAAATATTGAAGAAAGGCTTATTTTCTATTTCTTTCTTTTTTTCGAAATACAGGGATTAAAAGCAAATGTGATAGTTCCTTTCGAAGAAGGACATCTAATGAAATCTGATTTTAGCGTCGTTAATGAAGATTCTTCAAATAGAAAACGTAGCTCCAGTTTGACTGAACAAGTAAGAATTATTTTATAACAATTGATATGTGTTTGTGTTTATAATTATTTAATATAAATTAATATAAACATTTATATACGTGTGCATACAGGGTAGTAGAGGTCGAAGAGAAAGACCAATAATAGCCAATCGAATGATAGGAGAAAATAGAGCCTTCGATTTGAAACCTCCGATTGATGAAGCTTTAATGAGCTTTCACTATGAACTTACTGAAACTTGTATTGATTTAATGGCTCGTTACACATTTTCGAATTATTCAGCGCGACCTAAAAGGTAATTCGTTTGCTATGATCTCGCATAATAAATTTTGCTCGCACGGCTGCACGTTTTTGAAGTTGCGTAAAAACTTGAGTTTGTTGTCGGCGTCTTTTGCAAAATTGCTCGTATCTAATAAAACCAACGTTTCTTGCTTGAAAACTTGTTAAAACCACTATTATATAAAACTTGTAAAATCGTTACGCTATAAATGACATATTAAACGCAGTTAAAGTTATAGTTTATCGTATATGTGAATAGACTATTATAGCTTACGCGCAAATGCCCTGATCACACATTGATTCTTTTTACAATAGGTTACCAGCCGCAGATTTCCTTCTCAAGGAAGGTCAATCGATGACTTGGATTCTTGGTAACAGGCTTATTACTGTAACAACAAGTGGTTGTAGCAACAAAGCTATGCGTGGTGGGCTTTGTGATAATTGCTGGGCGGCATGTAAGCCTGGCTTCCTGTTACTGGATCATACAAAAACTTCTCATTCAAACTTACAACGTACTTCAAGTATTGAGGTAGCTTTTTTTTATACATACAATTATTTACTTATGACATATGATAGAATCAGTAGTCTTATAATTGTTTTTTTATTTCTGTGTAATTGCTTTTAAGAAGAGTGTACTATATAAGAAATTGTATTAATTAGACATCGAAAGAAGACAAGTTATCCAGGCAGTCTTCCGGTGGGCATGGAAGTTCCAATGCAAATACCGCTACAAATTCTCCTACAGAAGAATCGAAAAAGTATGCAGAAGATTCTGATACTGTAAAAAAAGAATTTCTCACAGAGAAGACTGACAAGGATCAAAATGAACCGTCAAAATTAGGGCAAATATTAAATAGCGACAAGCAAGATGGACATGTACTTTGCGCTTGCTGGTGTCAAGGATGGGCTGAAATATATGTGCGTAGACCTACAGGCGATATGTCATGGATTATGAGAATTCAGAATTCTACACAATTTGAAACTTCCATGGACTTTCCTGTACATGATATTATGGCTCTATATATGCCAAATCAATATATAATATCAAATAAACAACAAGAGGTTGCCTCAGAATATTCTGATGACGAAACAGAGGTATTTTTGAAATTAAGTAGTTGCGACTTGTTTAAAAAAACCGGAAACATGTTATTTATTGATTGCAGGATGTGCCAAACAAAAGTAGCAATCAGTCACAAAGTGAACATGGTGTGAAACCATTTACTATATCATCAGGTCCCATCGCTATACCTGGTTCACCAGCTCGACCTAGTCCATCCCGACAAAGTTCAAAAGATAGTTTAGAAAGTTTGGAGGAAGGTGAAGAAGGTATGTATTGTATGTATAATGTAACATAGTTTTACATAACTGTAAAATTAAAATTTTTTTATCTGGAAAAGATGAGAAGTTTCTCTTAATTTTTCGCACACTGAAGTCAAATCCGCCTTCAAAAGGAGAATGTTACATCGGGAGAAAATTTGTTTACTTTCTTTTGAGAAATTGTTTCGTGATCTCAAAATTCTGATGTAATACGCACTTGTGTTCAGACCGAATTTGAATTCAATATAAAACTACGGAAACCTATTCTTCTCTTTTCCCGATAGAATGATAGAATCTTTAGAACAACGTAATTTATGTTTCTTTAATCGAGTTTCTGAAAGAAAATTTCCCATAGATGCACGGCGTTCCCGCAACCCAGTACGCAGATCAAATTCCAGTCCGGAAATGAGCGCTAATTGGAAAAATCCATTTTTAAATAAAGAAAAATTAAACATGCAGCAACAAGTTGACAAAGATTTTATATGCTCAGACTTAGAAATCAAATTAGATGCAGAATTGAAGAAACATTCAAAAAATATTTATACAAAAGATATGAGGTATATTATTTTCTTTCTTATCAAGAATATTTTTCACGTGGATTTTTATTAATACTATTTATTTCAGAATATTTATAAATAAAATCAACAATTTTACAAATAATGCTCGTATACGAATAAGCTATTAGGCTTAATAATTTTATGCTTTTTTCCTGTTACAATATTATCTGAAAAAGCTGTTCCTCATCATCATTTCTAATATCTGTTTAATTTCTAGAGTTAGTTGCGAAGCCATACCAGAAGAAATATTTGGCATGGGGACAACACCACCTTCCTCGGAGAACGCTGGAGACCATCCAATCACATTACGTTCACAACGCTCCTATCCGGGAGCGACACAAGTTACTCAAACTATCTCAGCAACTCTTAGCAATACTGTTCCACCTTCTCCTACAACTGTGCAAGTAAGTAACACATATATTCTAATAAAATGTTAAAACTTATATTTCATAACATTGAAATTGTTCTAGGCACCAGGTAATTATTTAGGGATACAAACACGCCCCGCACAAATACAAACATCTATAACAAAAGCACCGCAATCACCTACTCAAATTTACTCTCGATTGTCCGGGCTTGATTACAATCAGAAACAAATGCCATTGACTGTGGAAAATAAACCACCTATTGGGCGAAACCATTTTGCGGATAAGGTATATATAAGAGAATCAGTTTTTTTGCTTTTACTTTCATTATATTACATCAATTATATAATTGACCACTTTCTTCAGCAAAAAGATGAAAGGCCTGATCCGTCTACATTGCCTCCTTTGCCTCTACCTTTCCGCGACAGAGGCCACACGATCTCTGTTATGAGTCCAGTAAAAAAATCACGAGAGTGGGATAATATGAGACGAGGTAATTCCCCTCGAATGAAAGACCCACCGCGAACAGGCATCAATCCAAGGTATAATTACTGCACATATTTTGAATAAGACATATTGTGGTTATTCTTTAGAATGTTTTATTATAATATGATAACACTGCTTTCGCATAAAAAAAAACTACGGAAAACTTTTTCCAGATGATAAAAAATATCCAAGCTGTCAGTGTTTGTTATGATTTCCTAAGCAAAAGTCATATTGTTATGTTACAGTTTTGTATTTCTTCAACTTTACCATGCAGCGCACTTTGGCACTACTACAGAAAAACCTCTGTTGGTTCCACAAACAACAGCCATACAACGTGCAGTGACAAATTTAGATAGAATACCGCCATATGAAACTCACAAGATTGGAGTACTTTATGTCGGCCCGGGACAATCTTCAAATGAAGTTGAAATTTTGGCAAATCAGCATGGTTCCCTTCGTTATACCGAATTCTTGAAACGTTTAGGCACGTTAATTCGATTGAAAGATGTCGACGAAAATATATTTTTAGGTGGATTAGATCGTAATGGTGAGAACGGAGATTTTGCCTACATTTGGCAAGATGATGTAACACAGGTTTGCAAATTAACATTTTATATCAAATAAATTTAATTTGTCGTTTTTTTTGCAATTTTTTAAATAATAATTTTATTTGAAAAATTCTTAGGTAGCTTTCCATGTTGCGACATTAATGCCTACAAAAGCAAGCGACCCAAAATGTACGTCTAAGAAAACACACATTGGAAATAATTATGTAACATTAGTATACAATGAATCTGATGAACCATATAATATACAGACGGTTAAGGTGTGTGTAGAATTAGATATATAGAACAAAATTTTGTTACTTGTTTTATTATTATATTATTTTATTTAATATAATTTTATGTACATTTTTCAGGGTCAATTTAATTATGCCTGTGTTGTAATACAACCTTTGGATCATGGTACTAATCAAGTTACAGTACAAGCGCGAGAAGAATTGGCTGAGCATATTGGTCACAGTGATCCTAAGATAATTTCTGACCAGAATCTGGCTATTCTTTCACGGCAACTTGCTCTGCATGCTAATGTAAGTATCAGTCGTAAAAGTTTTTACAGAAAGATAGATATATACATTATAAATATGATCTATTTATTATAGCTAGCCTCAATGGTTTGCTCATCTTTGAAGCAAAATAGTCATAATCCATATGCTTCCAATTGGTTGGAGCGTTTACGTCACATCAAGCGACTGAGAAATAGAGTATTGCAAGAATCTGTTAATAATAATTCAGATACTACTTCAGACGAATTATCACCTAGGTCCAACAAACGAGTTTATATGGACGATTTCACAGAATATACCACATAATTTTATTGTGCGCAAAAAAACTGTATGAGAATGATAATAAACGGAGACAGATTGGATCAAACCAGATTAATGTATAAAAAAATTGAAGCATAAATATATTTCATGTGCAATTTTATTTTTTAACAAGATTATTTATTAGATTGTTTAGAAAAATTTTTTAATTTCTTCAATTTTATTTCCACAGAAAAAACTAGAAAGTCTTCTGAAACTTCATTAAATAAGATTTCCCACTACTTGTCACATGATCCACTTTGGTTGCTACCAAGATCAGAATCGGAGCTGACCGGCGTTAAAATTAGCCCTCTACTTTTAGAAGTTTATAATTATTAAGTATATCCCTTGTTGGAAATTCAAACAGGACAACTTATTTAAACAAATAATTTTGTTTAAATTAATTTTATATTTTATAATTTTATTCAAATGAAAGATAGACACAATTCTTAGAAATTAATAACTGAAAATGGTTGATAAGTTTCCTGATAAAAACGAATTGCCATTTTATTGTCACAAAACTAACCTAAATTTATTGAGCCACTTATGCTTATTCTGTTCGCTTGGTTCGACTTGGCTTGGTGATATCGCTTCGCGCAACAGAATATTATGTCGAATAAACATTTATTTCTCAAATCCGGATTTCCGCGAGCACCTTTTGGCCTCGGAATTGGACGTTATGTCTGTCAATTACAAAGAATAACTTTAAAATTTTGTAAAAATCACGGTACAAGTAGAGGCGTGAGGTAATCTAACCTATATTTATGTGAAAATAGTCCGTACGTAAACAATGCAAAAAAAATATTAAAACAGTATTTAATTTTTTTTACAGAAATTTCATAGAACATGATTTGATTAACTATGCAAAAGAAAATCCAGGAATAGTTGTATATGTTAAACCAAGAAGGCACAGGCATCCAGTTATTGTTGGCGAATATTGTAGGTTTCCAATATTTCTATTTCGTGTCCCATAAACAAGTTGCATGGTATTTTACTACTAGAAAAATTCGAAAAGTAAAGTGCATAAAAGAAAACAGTTTAAAAAAGAAAATAAAAATTTTATTTTAATCCTTTTTTAATACACATCAAACAGAAGCTCATTGCTTGCTTATTTTTCTATATACTTATATATACATTCACCAAAATAGGTTTAAGCATCTGTCCCAACATGACATTAGCTGCAAAATATTTGCTACATAAAAATATTTATATCCAGCTAATTCCATCTCTCTTTTCCCACTTCTTTGTCATGCAATTTATTTTTCTGAAAGATTTAATCTTCTAAACTGATGAAAGTGTAATTCAAGTTTACATCTGATGAAGTGAAAAATAAGACCATAAGCTAGCTGAATAGGCTGAAAAATGCTATACAATCATCATTTTGCAGCTAGTATTGCACTGTGACAAAAGCTTGAAATTACTCAATAATCACATAAAAAAATAATTAAGAAATAAACTTGGTGTATATAACAGTGACATGAAAGAAATTAGAGAATAGAATTTAAATTTGCTTTTTCAAGTATCATCTTATTTTTGGAACTTGCCAATAATACTATGTTGCAACTACTTTAACTTTTATGAACACAATGCTGATATATATATTTTATTCACAGTAAATGGCGGTAGACAGTGGATGGATGTTGCCAATTATACTCGAGAAGATATCATAAAATGGATGGAGTTGTTGCGTACACAAATTCATGACAGTCCTTCGTTAAGATTGCGTAAACTATGGCATACAGACTTTCCATCAATCCAAGGGCCCTGGACACCATTTACATTTAGAAATGCAATATTGAATCTAGCACAATTTCCTAATGTAATTATGCTTTACTTAAAAATGTTGTATAGTCTTTTTTATTAAGCCAATATTATATATATATATATATGTCTTAATAAAATATTTTTGATATTTTACTTACAGAAGGAGCTTGGTGCAGCTATTAAACTTGAGCCTACAGCAACGGAGCAACTCATTGAATTATTCAAAGCTCAGCAGATTAAAACTGAAAATAAGACAGATAGTGCTACAGATGTTCAGCAAGATTCTGACTATGTTCAGAAGATATAATTTTCAATGCCATTGTGAATAATTCCTCCATCTTCAATTTATGCTGTACATATATAGTATAAAAGGTAATGTCATTTATTTCATAAATATATATATCCAATATATAATAAAAAATGATTTTTTAGCGTTATTATCAGCGTTAGTATCAGATACATCGTACAACATATAATATTCCATAAGTCATTCCTTTCCCATTGTAAATTACATATAATTACAAATAAAAGTTAAAACTATAAATCATCATTATAGATTTTCCTCATTTCTAAATTAATGAATTAATAAAAACTAAAATTTATCTGTGACTTATCTTTAAGTCTAATTAAAATATAACATTTTAAATAGAAACAAGAGGTAAAAGAACCTCATTAGAATAGAATTTTTTATCATAACTTCACAAAATACTTTTATCATTAAAACTTCACAGAGTATATCTATAAGATGTATAATACTAAAAGATATATTTAAGAGAGTACACAATCTTCGTCCGAATTCTTCTTTTCATGGTGTTTATATTTCTGCGTGTGTTGAAACTGCGATGCATTTGTACTTCTTGGAATACTTTTAAAAGTATTGTTTGATCTGTGAGGAGTATTTGCATGCATTGTTGTCTGTAAAAGGAAAAGATTTATTTATTTTATGTACGATATTACATTCACATTTTATTATGAAGCATTAATGTCTGCATACATGATAAATCTTTTCACACTTGTTGGATGAATCGGTGGCCATTCTGGCACTGGCTCCTTTTACATCGGTGGTCATTCTAGCACTGGCTCCTTTTACATCCGAATAATTATATTCTGTAATGAATAATCGCTATCCTTTTATCACTATGCACTTATGTCGTACATTCATAAATTGTTCTTTTATATTTTGTTGTACATAAATAATTGACGAAAATACGCACGTGTATCGCTAGACAAAAATGCTGGTTGATTTGTAGTATTATTATGTCGTAAATTTGAACTTGTACTAGGCGCATTTAACATTACAAAGTCAGAAGTAATGTCACTGTTGAAAGATGAATTTGCAGCACCGCAAGATGTTTTCGGAATATCTGGAAGACTGGTCTAGAAAACGTTGTCTTAATGAAAATGTGAATCATCTTTTATTTTACTCTATCAGAAATATATCATGCAAATAGAATCTATTTCAATACATAGTAAGCTATAATTCAGGCATTTTTAAGAGCAAGTACCATTTTATTTATTGAATCCATAGCTTCGTAATCTGCTTGATTATTCCATTTGTTATTATTCTACAACATAAAATTATCTCTATGACATTCAATGTTAAAGTTCTTTTTATCTGTATTTTCATTCGTAAAGTTTTGTTTCTAAAAACTATATATATTTTTTTTTATTTCTATTTGTCTCCTAAATGAAAACTTTTTATACCTCAGTAAGGAAATAAACTGCTTTTTCTTAATTTTTAGCTTTTAGTACAACGTAGTGACACTAAGGGAATACCTTATGCGTATTTTGTTGCATGTAAATAGAATAAGATTTCATAAATTTTATTTGTTTATTATATGATCAATTAATACATACAAAATATTTTTTAAATTTAAATCTATTTTGTGTATGTGTATATTAAAAATTATAATACTTATAGTATACACATATAGAGGGAAATATGAATAGCGTTGCTATTTTCGTTATTATTTTTTTTTTAGATTGTTTACCTTTGATACAGGTTTCAGTTTTGCCATTGCATCCAGTAAATTTTTATTCACCTATAATTTTGAATCATAATATAAATAGGCATAAAAATATATTTTAGTGATAAAAACATGATATCTTTAATGTTTTTGAACAAATGAATGATTTTATGTTACAAAACAGTACTGTATTACCTTGTCGTCATCTGCTTTAGAATTATTTTTAGGACCCTTACAACAATGAGTAAAGTGATTTGTGTCGCCACATTTTGTACACTTTGATCCCCAAGCGGGACATTTTCCTTGTGGATGCATAGTGCTGCATCTCCAACAACCTTTCTTTATATTAGTAACATCTTTCTTTATATTAGTAACATCTTTCTTTATATTATTATCCACTTGCTTTGATGGTGTAGGATTTTCAGATTGCATTTTATTTTCTTTAGTAATCTGTTTCATCTTTTCAGTGTTGATATTATAATCATTGTAAATCATCACCAGCTTCTGTAGATCTAAATTGTCTACTTCAAAAAATTTTTTACGAAGTATTTTGTCATGTGTATCAAGCATAATTTTGTCTCGTATGATGCTATCTGTCATGTCGTTGAAATTGCAAGTTTTAGCCTTCTCCTGTAAAAAACAAGATTTGTAATGTATATATAATACTTGGGAAAATTATCACAAATACAACATACTTTTAAGATATTTATATACTGTTCAATAGATTCATTCTGTTTCTTTGCTCTGGTAAAAAAATTATATCGTTCAATCACTTCTTTTTTTGGTGGATTAAAATAGTTTTCAAGTTTTGTAATCAATATCTCCATGTCATCTTTATCTTGTGGATTATCAAAAGACATAGCTTGTATGGCATCAATGCCAACTTTTCCAATTCGATTTTTTAAGAGATTTGCACGGAGTTCATTCGGTTTATCGATGTATCCGGTTACTTTCATAAATATAATGAAATCTTCCTTCCAGCTTTGCCAATTTCTGGCCATGTCACCATCCTTTGTTAAAGGTTCAGGAGCACGTGCATGTGCTTCCATGACGGAGGTAAAGCTTACTAAAAAAAATTTTTTTTTAATTACTGCTTTTTTTGTATATTGAACAAAACACTCTTTGTGTGTTTAAAATTTAAACAACTGCTTATTGTAGTATATTTTCCACAAAATGCAAAAAATTGTACACATCTTGAAAAAATTTAATATATCTTGAATATTTTTTAAAACTGCATTTGTTTTAATTTATTTACAGATTTGTGTCAACACAGTACAAATAGAAAATGCAAAAAATTATGTTATATCATACAATTTTCCTATATATAGAATGTAAATTAAACGTTTGCCAGATTTTAGGAATGAACGAATTAACATAATTAAGTTTGTACTTATAGTTTTAAAACATTTTGTTTAATATTTCATTACATATAGAATATCTGATCAACAGAAAAGATAATGCTTGAGAGAAATAAAAAAAATATAGAAAAATTTACAACAAAGTTTAATTGATATAATTTCATGACACAAAAATTACACACACACAAAATGAATAGGAATTGAAGAGGCATTGAGAATAAACAAATTAACTCAGTCCTTATAAGAAGTTCTTATAAGAAAAGAAGCTTATGATTATTTTACTTCTGTTATAACTAGCTGTTCATAACTAGCAAAATTGTGTAATTAATTAATCATTGATAATAAGTAGATCTATTAATATAACAATATTAATATTTTAACTCTATGATTATGTTTATATAACAAAGATGATTATTGATATTCATTATTAAAAATTATAATAGCATAAATTATACTTCTTATATATATATATATATATATATATTATTTTTTTTTTTTTTTTCCCCCCTATTATCCAAATTTGGCTCTAAGTTAGAATACAATTGTACTTTTAAGTTATATTGTTTAACCATATAATTTATTTTTTTCTATACATACATAATATTTATGCATTTGAAAGTATGATAAAACAGTTTGATAAATTTTAACATACATTTTTTAACTATAATTGTTACGAAGTTTATAGGCCATATGTGATCTCAAATATTACATATTAATATAATGCGATTCATTACATGCTACGTCATCAAAATGTGTAGAACGATTTTGCCGATTTTCTCGATATTACGTGTAAAGTTACATTTATAATATACGTACCTGACTGTTAAAAATGCGTTTAAAAATAAGATTTTATATTTTCTCAATATAAAGTTGTGCTTTGCAGATATCTTGGGTGTGGCAATACTCTTCGTTTTAACATTCGCGTACCATTATCCGCTATCATCTGACATCATCACTGCTATGGACGCTGTGGATATGTGATAGCAGTGATCAGTGATGCAAACTCGAGCCGGCCAGCACCAGGGCTCTGTGGTAGGGGAAGCATGCAACAAGCGAGAATTGCTTACGTCACACGTACGTGTGCAGCAAATTGTGTAAGCAATTCTCGCTTGTGTGCATGCTTCCCCTACCACGGAGCCCTGGTGCTGGCCGGCTCGAGTTTGCATCACTGTGTGATAGCATCATCAGTTCGGTGTATGTATGTATATCGTTATATACACAATCGGTATTTTCCATTGAGCTATATAACATACTGGAGAGCGCCTTGAAGGAGCGGGGCTGGTTCTACTGGACAAAAGAGAGAGCTATATTGCCGGGGGACGTCTGCTTCTTCGCAACGTTTTTGATTGACCAGCGATGTTTATCTGTATTGTAAAGCCCGAATTATAAACATTCTCCGAGAAATTCCATCTCTTTGAAAACAATTTTTAACCATAATTAAGAGATCTATGAAAATTTATATGAATAATATATAATGTTATTACTATGATAACTTTGGCTCTTATGAGAAGGCGCTCTCCAGTATGTTATATAGCTCAATGGTATTCCCCCGCAGCCATTATGCGTACGCATTTATGTGCAAGCAAACACACATGAGCAGTAATACACTTTGATATAAATTAGGGATGCACCGGATAGTGATTTTACCGGATAGCCGGATATAGGATAAACGTATACTCTCGCGACCGGATACCGGATAATCCGGCTGGACACTATTTTTTCGGATAAACCGGATATTATCCGGCAGAAACATTCCAATATTAAAAAAATGGAGTTAATTATCAATTAAATAAAGAAAAGAAAATATTGTTATTTACTTTAAAATAATATTTTATTGTCAATTCTCTTGATTGTTAAACAGTTATTAAAAATAAAAATTAAATATTTAAATTTTTCATTATAAAAATTAGCATTTCTGCATTGTCTGGATGTAATTTATTTCGATGGTCTGTGTAAACGTTCCCTGCGGAACTAAATAGTCTTTCTGAATTTACTAAAGAAGGTGGAGCACTTAAATATTTCAAAACAAGATTTTTTTAATTTGGAAATTTAGAATGATGTTTTTCCATCACGATATGGGATTGTCTGTCCTTTTTGTTAGCAGTAATACTAAATATTTCTTGAGTTCAGTTTGATATATTTGCCTTTTTTTCTTAGATCTGTCACTAAGTTTCTTTGAAATTCAACTTGTCCATTAGCTATTTCTTCGGTAATACTCGCATTAGTCGCATTTGGATTTTTGGTATCCGGCCAGATAAAAGAAAATATCCGGCTATCCAGTATTATTCGGCAGAGGCCGGATAATACAGGATAACCGGATACATATCCGGTATCCGGTGCATCCCTAATATAAATATAATTAGAGCACTAAAGATGTAGGTATTCTACCGTCTGCTCTGGTCTCCGCCATTTCTGTTCCATTCCCCCACTCCTTGCTCTCACGCCTCTGTCACTGAGCTGACAAGTTTATGATAATTAGGTTATGGTTTCTAAGCTGCTCGAACTCTGTGTTTACGTGTATTTTGATTATCCGAATGTGAACAAAAAGAGAGTCTTGGACACCAACCAAATCATCGTGCCTCTGTGAAGTAAGTTTATTCTCTTAAATTTCTAATTTACGTATTTTTTCTGTTTGTTTAGAATCATGGATCGTTTTTTTAAGTGTAGTTTAGATTTGTCATCGTTTGAAATGACATAAATATGAATAACTGTAATCAATAAGGACATTTATCTTATAAGCAGTTTTTTTATTTCATTAACATTTTGAAGAATTACAGTTTGAGATTGCAGATAATTGGCGAAAATTAAAACCAAACGCCATACCAACACTTTTCGATATACCTGGTCTACCTGCAATTAATAAAAATGAAACAGATGAACCAAATACAAATGCCATTGCTGAGAAAGACGTAAATTTTTTCATTAATCTTATGTTTATATTTAATCACTCGTACGATGTGTACAAGAGTATTAGTCACGCCCATAAATATAATAATAAATAAATGAATAAATAAACCAACAAATTAATACATGTCATTTCTTTTATCTTACTGTAATGTATCATAGAAACTTACGTCTTTCTCAGCAGTGGCATTTGTATTTGGTTCATCTGTTTCATTTTTATTCATTGCAGGTGGATCAGGTATATCGAAAAGTGTTGGTATGGCGTTTGATTTTAATTTTCGCCAATTATCTGCTCGATCAATCTCAAACTGTGATTCTTCAAAATGTTTCTGAAATAAAAAAATTGCTTATAAGATAAATGTCTTTATTGATTACAGTTATTCATATTTATGTAATTTCAAACGATGACAAATCTAAACTACACTTAAAAAAACGATCCATGATCCTAAACAAACAGAAAAAGCTACGTAAATTGGAAATTTAAGAGAATAAACTTACTTCACAGAGGCGCGAATATTTGGTTGGTGTCCAAGACTCTCTGCGGAGATTACGTATCCATTGCTGTCGACGAATATCATCCACAGGAAATGCAAATACTCGAACACCTTTTTCTGTTCTATTGGTACAATTGACCGCAACGCAGCAAGGCATTTATCTTTTTTTTTGTTCACAGTCGGATACACGCAAATACAGAGTTCAAGCAGCTTAGAAACCATAACCTAATCATCATAAACTTGTCAGCTCAGCGATAGAGGCGAGAGGGCAAGGAGTGGGGAAACGGAACAGAAATGGCGGAGACCAGAGCAGACGGTAGAATACTCACGTTTATAGTGCCTTAATATAACTAAAAGTAAAAAAAAATAATACTCTGTTACTGTGTTATTTACGGAATTTTAAGAGAGAAACTAATAGCGTTTTTAACTAAATAAATTTTGAAATAATCGATCCGTGAAGATCAATCGCTCTCAAATTAATAAAAAACGTTATAAATAAATATCAAATAGCTTAACAATGATATTACTAATAATTTTTAAACGTTATAAGTTTTCATTTTGAACATGAATTCATAGAGAAGGATCTACGGCACCCAATCTGTATAAGCTAAGAGCTAAGTAATATTTTTTTGTAACGAGAGTGTAGCGTTAAGTTATATCCAGGCAAACATGCATAATACATAAGCATATAGTACAAGTTTATGTGGATATACTCTTAGGCCATAGAACATACAGAGACGAGAGATTCGACCAACAGAATTTGTCCATAAGGAGCCTACATCAAGCTTCTAATTGGTTACGCGGTTATGCATTACGCGAAAAATATGTACATGGAACCTTACCTTTAGTCGAACTTCTCATCTCCGCACAATCTATGCCACAATGTTCTATGTCTAACGTCACAAGAGATACAGCTAATCTGCTGTCCTTTTCATCCATTTTCGTCATCCCGCGCCTTGAGAATTACGACATATTTAAACATACTTCAGTATATATACAGTTCAGTAGTAGCGTTAAATATGCGTAACCTCTAAATTTGTAAGATTTTTTTATAGTGACCATTCGAGTAATTCGAGTACCATGAAGTTGATCGAAACGATGTGACTAAACGAGCAAGCTTTACTTCCATTTTGCCTTCTTTGTCAAGTTTCGTTCTCCCTCTCTTTCTCTCTCTCTCTCTTTTTCTGCCTTTTTTTTGCTTGCCTTCCTCTCTACCTGTCCTTTCCTATCACACGTCTTACTTCTCCGATGAAAACGAGCCAGGATCTATACGCTAGCGTTTGGTGGCGTGCTGGCGACACAATTGGAACGATGCGGCGTAGTCGGCGTAGTCTCGTACGTGTTGCGTTCGCTCGTGGTTCATTCGCGTGGTTTTGGAGCAACACGAGCAACGTGATCGGTGGTTCGTCGATGTGATGACGTCAGATCACGAAGCATAGGCCGAGAACGCGAGTTTAAAGCCGAGTAGGGCGTGAAATCGTACGTTCTTTCGTCGTCGGATGGAAGTATGTGCAAATAACGACGCGCGCGTCCGTTTTATCCATAAAACAATTATGTTCGGTGCTGTTTTAACGTGATTGTGACAGTGAATAGTGTACCATGTTCCGCTGCATTCCAATTTTTAAAGGGTGTAACAGGCAGGTGGAATACGTTGACAAGCGTCATTGCTCTCTGCCGTGCGTCCCTGATGACATCCTGCGATACTCCAGGAGTTTGGAGGAGCTGCTACTAGACGCAAATCATATCCGTGATCTGCCAAAAGTGAGTATCGTGCTGTACTAAAAACTTTACTAATTTCTGTTTTTGTTCCCACCTTATCTTTTTTTTTACTCGTGTACCGTTGTAATTATAAAGTAGTATATGATATGACAAAGAGTGTAACGCGATGTAACGCGAAAGAAACATTTTTACATTCTTGTGCTTATCTTTTTCTTCTTTTTTATCTCTTTACCGCAAAGTTAATATGCTCATCAATGTCGTGTTTGTTTCAGAATTTCTTCCGACTTCAGAGGCTACGAAAACTTGGTTTGAGCGACAATGAAATACACCGTTTGCCGCCGGATATTCAGAATTTCGAAAATCTCGTGGAGCTGGATGTGTCCAGAAATGGTGAGTAATGTATTCCTACGATTTTGACCGTGATAAATTTGTGCGATGGTGTGTTGCGTTTGTACAAAAAATAAGTGTATTGATGCGTAAACACTGTCCAGGAATTCGAGTGATTAATCTCATTAAGATGGATTGAACTTGTTACGTTCCGTACATTCCGATACTGTCCTCTTTTCTTATTACCATGCGACTTTTTATTTGATGCCCGTGAATTCGAAGAGATGGGGAAAACCGATGATGGTTGTCTGAAGCAGAAAGAGAAGCGTCATGTAATAACGCGCTTAAAAGGTGATTTAAAAATGAATGTGAAGTAAAACGCATAATTTTTATCCGGCCGATTTCATCTACGAAAGCGAAGCTATTTCGAAAAAATTCACGACGTACTTAAACTTGGATACTGCAATCGTTAGGCGAGCGCTAACGAGACACGTATAACGGTATATTTTTTTTCGCTTCCTCTCATCGTTGCTTCCATCGTAGCGCGTCACCATGCCACCGACGCCGCATCGCACCGAGCTGAGCCGAGCCGAGCCGAGGTATGCCGCCCCGCCTGTCACTGGTGCCTATCATAAATATTTCTGCCTACAGCGTATCGTTTTTCTTTTTCTCGTCCTACCTGTTGCAACACGTCTCATTTGTCAAAAAGAACCGGGTGACAAGCAGCTTGATATCAGAATTTTTCTATATATATATATATTTATTTATTTATTTATTTATTTATTTATTTATTTATTTATTTATTTATTTATTTATACTTCGTCGAGTTGACATTTTTGGGTCACGCTAGGTGTGTAGAAATGTCAATTTGTTACATGGTGTGCGCGTATAGACATGGACAGGTGAAGAGGAATGGCGGGGGAGAGGAGCTGAAAGAACGTTCATATATAATTGCAATTAAGAAAGTCAAATATAATAATTATTCTGGGAACTATACAATCGGGTGCATGAATGGTGTCTGCTGGTATGTCTGAAAAATAACAAGATTGAACACTGTATTAATTGAAATACTTGATCGCATTCGTAATAAAAATCGTTTACTTTATTCCAAGTATATTCCTTTTGCATTAATATAGCATCAATCAATCAATCAATTAATTAATCGATGCATGACTATTTCTGGAGATCTGCTTTCGGAATTGTCTCGAAGATTTTTGTCACGGTTGTTTGAACGAAACGTCATTCTAGAGTTTCTTTCATCAGAATTTTCAATTTTGAAAATGAAATGTACTCGTAAGGTTGTCGATTTATTCTTTAGATTTTTTATTTAAAAAAATGTAAAATTAGTTAACATCTATTAAAAAATGTCAATAATGCAGAAAAATTCTATAAACTGTATTAATTTTTATAAATATATAATTGATCAATTTAAAAATGGAAGAACAAATGTCATTGAAGAATCTTACTGACAAACAATGCCACAAAGAGTGCACGATTCATACTTCTATAGGTATTGTTTAGATATTCTTTGCATATTGTTTATTGTTATCAATTTTTTTTCATATTTTTTGAGAATACATACATTCTTGAATATATTTCATTTAATTTTATACTTCAAAGGAAAAATCTAATGATGTTTTATCAATGTGCATTCTTCCAGTGGACTTTTATAAATGACATGATAGCTATATTAGCTATTATTACAGCAAAAAATAATTTTGAATTTAAAATTGTGTATTATAGAAAAAACTGGCTATACATAAAAGTATTGTTTTAATGTATTTTATAATAATACAAAAAGAATATACAATACAGAAAAATTTGATACTGCTATACTAAAAATATTATCACAATGTTAACTAATATTTTATACTAAAAAATAATTTATGAGTGCTATTGTATATTATGTAATATAATGTCACATTAGTAATATGTAAACTGAGATAAACGCAAAACATACTCTAATAATTAGTAATGATAAATACATGTATCGAGACTACATAATAATTATATACCGTTAAATTAAACTAATTATTATCTGTGTTTATTGTTCGAGAATATTTACGATTTAATAGCGTTAATATTTCTGTTACGATTTTTAGTATACATTTTTTTATTAATAAATATAATAAAATATGTATGAGAAAACAATTCTTTTGCGTATAACAACAGTTTTTTCTACGGGAAAGAATTGTACTATTTATTTTTTGCTTTAACGTTTAGTTTATTGTTTTAATTAAAACAATACTGTTTTATATGTGTACAATAATTCTTTCAATAGATGAATATGTTTGCTTCTCATTTTCAATTGGCATCAGTTTTTCATATATTATTTCTTTTGTATATATATATATATATATATATATATATATATATATGTACAGCAGTTTTTTCTACAAGCATGTGCAAAAGTTATGTACATCATATATACATATGTATATATCAATTGTTATAAACAGAGCAAAGTAGAATCCATCAGTATCCTCGTCGAGTTTTAACAGAATACGATGGTATTCTTTGCCATTCTTATCAAATGATAAGTAAAAATATATTATTTGAAACATTTTCAATGTTTTAATGTTTCACAACGATGTATGCCTTTATTCTTTCTCATTTCATGAAATCTTCCACGACAAAAATGTTTACATTCAAACATTGGTGATGTGAAAAATGTTTTCCAGCTACAAGTTTTGAAAGATAGACACATATTATACGACACTAAATTATTTACATTTTATTATTTAATTATTTTTATCCTTTTAATTTAAATTTACCTTGAAATACAAGGCGCCAAATATTCGTCTATATAGGCAGCATTCTGAAGAAAGATTTTCATACTAGATTATTTTCCTCAATGATTGGTTGACCGAGAAAGCACAACAGTATATTGACAAGCAGCATGGTTGATCACACAGTCGTTACATATTTTTAGGTTGCTCAAGCACGTTCAATATGACATAAAGCAACGATGTTTTTTTATTTTTTATTATCACAAGTTGACATATTGAATGATTCAATACAAGAATAATTGTATCCTCTCGAAAACTCTTGAGTGTATAAAGTTAACACCTCGACATATATTACACAGACAAAGTACACATTTTTGGGATATTCTGATTAGAAAAGGAATGTTTGGCGGAATTTGACACAATCTCTTAACCTTAGGACATTTATCTAAAAATCTTTATGGACATAAATTTTCAAACAAATTAAGTGTGTAAGAGTATCTCACAGCATATTTGGAAAAAAATATATTAATATTACATTAGAATGATAATAATCGTTGAGATTATACGTGTAATTATTATATAACTATAAAGTATCACATCGTTTGCAACATATTGTTTCCATAATAGTAGTTGGATGCTACGTGCGTGCACGATTGCGTCGTGTGTCACGCGCGGTATGCTGCTATCAATGTGGTATTTGCGATCTATTATGCATTGAAATATGTGTGCGTTACGTAGTTGGTTCCTTTTACAATTAGAACAATATAGTTGCACATACATCCATTCGCACTAACTCATCCGAAATCGCTCATTATAAAATAAGCGCGCGATGAATAGCTTACACGATGTTAACATGCAACGCAATAGGACTTGATCACTCGAAAGCGTAAAAGACGAGTGGGTTGCGTAATCGCAAGGTTTCAGATCAAGAAGATTGCCACTTGATTGAGATAGCCAGTACGCGTGTTTATATTATAATTTAATCACACATGGGCCGAGTTGCTCCTTTAACTTTCCTTAACTTTATGTTTTTTTGTTGCACACATGCATTTTTTATGACTTATATTATTTTTCTTCATATTGAATCGATTGAACTTGGTAACTTTACAGAAAAGTTCAGGGCTGCTTGTGAGTAATATAATTAACCGTTCTATAATTACAATTTGTGCCTAATTGTAATTTATATTTACTATTTATATTAAATAGACAGATATGGTTTTTATTCCCTAGGAATTACAATAATATTACCGCTCACTGACATGCAATAAAGTAATGCAGTCTATCGTCACACCTTTTCTGAGGTAAATTACAAAGGCCGAGGGTGGACGTTTTGTGCTATTTATAATGTTTATTGCGGTTGCAACAAAAGGGGCGGTCGACTAACCGTTATGCCATGGCATCTGAAAATTAACGGTGTTTGCATGGAAAAAGATCGTAATATACATATGTATAAGGCTGCCCCTGAATCTCTGTTGCATCTCCATTTACCCGTAAATTTTGTCAATGCGATATGTGATGGAATCGACTTTTTCCGATCCTTTTTTTTTTTATAAGATGAATCTACCGCAGGTCAACATTCAATTTGGCAAGCCTTTCATTCTCAAATTTATGCTAAATTGGTTTTGATAACAAAATATATATCAACAAAATTATATTGCATTAATAGAATCTTGATTTCTCAATTCTTAAGAAATAAAAACACCTATTACAAAAAATTATATTTTATTACTAAAAATGATTTTTGCGAGAAAAACAATTAAATTTATGTAAAGAAGATTGAATATTTGTCGATTGATTGATATATTTGTCGAAAAATCTCGAGATTTATATAAAAAGTAATAAACAGGATGTATTAATTAAAATTATTGAAATCTTTACGATATTATTAGACATCGATATATTTGTTTATTACTACAATTGACGATTTTGACAATAGCAATATTTTCCTAATACAAAGCCAATTTTTAACAAATTATAATCTGGCTTTTTTTTAACATTTTTCTCATTACTCTGTTCAGTTCATGACTTTTCAAATTTATTTCATTACATGTGAAATGAACTTGAATTTAATGTTGTATCTATCTTTCAAAACTTATAGCTGGAACCTATATTTTTTATAATCGTCAATGCTTGAATGTAAATGCTTTGAAAACTCAATCGTACGAGTATGTTTTTTAAATTCCTTCAATAACATATCTTGTAAATTCATAAAATGTATAAATTTACTGTTTGACTTGATCTAGCAGTGTGATGCCTTGCAAATTTCATTGATTTATAATGATAATTTAATTTTCAAGTATCAATTTCCATTGGCACACATAGAAAAGAGTTTTTATTGCTTTATTAAAAATATTTTCTCTCTCTCTCTCTCT